CAACAGCAGCTGGGAAGGAGGTGATATGGGAGAGAAACAGCTCTGCAGCCATGAAGGTGAGGACAGGAGGTTCTCCATATGTGGAGCAGAAGCTCCCTGCAGATCAGCAGAGGCCCACAGAGGAGCAGGCTGTTCTCCTGCAGCCCACGGACACCATGGAGAGCAGATCTCCACGTGCAGCCATGGAGGAACCTGCGGTGCAGCAGTGGATGAGGCCTGAAGAAGGTACAGCCCATAGAGAGCCTCCACAGGTTCTAGCCTGTTAGTAACAGGCAAAAAACAAGTACATCAATCTCCCTGTGCTTTGTCTGTTTTGCTCATGACAGCAGTTGGTGAGCAATCTTCCTGTCCTTAACATAATCCTTGAGCCCTTTGCTGTTGTATGTTCTCCTCCCGTTCCTTTGAGGAGGGGGAATGAGAGAGCAGTGTGTCAGGGTTTAGTTACCTGTCAGGGTGAAACCACCACACTCCTGCAATTGCACTGTTAAGCAGAAATTGTGAAATTACGTTCCTCTCCCTTCAGATTTAAGTCACTGAATGTTGTTTTACCTTTATCTGTTTAAAACTAAATTCCCTACGGACTGCTCATTTTTAAGACAACAACAAAAAACACCTGTAAATCCAGATCCTGTCTCTGTCTTCTGCTCAGTAAGAGTATTGAGAAAATACTGTCTTGTGAGTGCAACTTTTGTTGCTTCTTTGCAGAGGTATTTTTTGCATTTTAGGATCTATGAAAAACCTTTGTCACCTCTGTAATGTTGTGATCATTTAGCCAAGTGATTCAGTCTATTTGTGGCAGTAACCAGCTCCCTCATTACATACTATTCTGTGAATCTGTCAATCGAAACGCTTAGCCACCAAAGATTTTCTATTCTCATTCATTGGGATTATCCCCAGATAATCAGTTAAAAATATTGATGAGATTTAGACCAAAAATTATCTTTAATGTACCTCACTGATTAGCTAGCTGCCCAATTCATTAATGTTGTCCCAGTTATTTCATGTTCAGGTGTGCTAATAAAGTAGTGGTAAAGAGTGTGTTGCTGCTTCGATATGCTGCCATTTTTAAGCTGTAAGATTACAAAATCAAGATGTCATAGTACTAAGTCGGATGTATTTATTTTAAAATCCAAGTTTTCTATCAACAAAAGCTTTTTTTTTTTTAACATACAAACATCATATACTCTCAAAACGTTTGTGGTTAATTTGACAAGACTCATTTACATGAAACTTGTTGACAAAAATTGTTTTATTTCTTAGTATCTGTCTCTTTGTTGACAGACTCTGTTGTTGCCTGGCCTATATAGGCATTTTAGAAGCCATGTCAGGTTACTTAGACACCAGATCCTTATTTTTTACATAGACATACTTTTAGAAACTCCCAACTGTGGATTCAAATTTACATTTGTTATCAGATAGAAATTATCTATTTATATTTTGCTGTCAGGATCTTAGTTTGTTATCCGTTTTGGGACAGCTAGTAACTGTTACCAGTTTTCACTAATACTTCTCCGATTTCTTTAATTGCGAAATACAGTTACGGTGAAAAGTAGCTTAAATTTTTCAGAAACTGGCTCTTTGAAAAGTTCTTGACATATTTTATACTGTTCGTTGTACCACATATTGCTCAAACAAAGTAAATGAAATGCAGTGTCTCTTTTTCAAGGCATCCACTTCATTTTAGTTCTTAATTCTTCATTTAAGTGATTAATTCTTCTTTTGTTTTTAAGGACATTATTAAGTTACCTCGCTGTTTGTTGCTGAGCATGCTCACTAATCAATTACAGCATACTGCTTTTAAAAGTTATAAATGTTGAACATTTTCTAGATTGTTGTTAAACATTGAAGTAAGTTTTCTGAACCTGTTACCTTGCTGACAGCCATTAATTGAAAATTTTGCCTACTTACTGTTTCTGCAAGTGGATGTCCTCCAGTTATCCCATCTTTGAATTTGTGAGTCAGGCTTCTCACATTCTGATTTATCTGCTGAAAAGATAGTACAGACCCTGAGATAAACTTGTTTCAGTGTCCTAGTATTATTATCCATTCCATTGGGCTTCAGTAATATTCCCCATACTTCATTTTTATTCTCTTTACATGAATAACTTCAGTTCTTCTGGCCATGTCCTTTTGAAGGTTTGCTATGACTGTATTTATGTTGAGCATAGCTTACATAACAATGTTTGAACCATTATTACTCTGCTGAATGAAAAGCCTTCCTGATTACCTGACCCTGTTTATTCTCTCACAGAAGGAATGTTTTACAAAGACTGGGTCAACTGAAGCATTATAGAGGTATCATAAGAGACTTCCCATTACTTCACATATCAAAATGTACCTCTTGGTACCAACATTTTAGCTCACTAATGTAGCCCACCTTATACATTTAGCTCATTCCTTCTTTTTGAGGGAAAAGAGGCATGTATGATATGACTTTCCAAATATTCATCTTCAATAACCCCCAATTCTTCCCAGATTAGTCAATTGCAGGTTGATAAGTCATCAAAGGTACCAACAACTGAGGCTTACTGCCAGAGAAATGGCTCTTTCTCACCTTTTCGGTTCTACTTTTGGAAGATAGAAAATGTGCCCTGCTCATCAGCACAGATGCTCAGTGAACATGATCTCCACACGAATGCTTTCATAACTTAGTCGTATGCCTGCATTTTGAACTGGCCTCTAGTTCAATTCTTTCTCTTCAGGTGCCTCTTTCAGCACATTGTTCCTTAGGTCCATCTGTGATGACATACTTTAAGTCCTCATTCTTGGTGTATTAATGATGGCTTGCAAATTGGCATTGCAGTTGTGTACATGAAGAAAATTACTTTGATATGCATCTTAACTTTTCTGCAAACTACACTTGCAGTACGTTATTACCAACAATACAAACATTAGAACATTAGACTTGTTTCAAAATCATGGAAATAGGAAATACATGTGTTATTTTTCCAAACAAATTTCTTACAAATGAATGATTTGTCTATAGGAGCAAAAATGCACTTATTTCTGCATAATTTCCAGTGAATGTATAATTTTGTAAGATAGACAAGAAATTTAAAAGTTTACAAGAAATAATAATAATCTATCAGATATCAGCTATGTTGTATTTTATTACTTAGACAATGGCAAGTCTAAGGAAACTGATAAATTTAAAACAAATTGATTAGTATTTTCAATAGGGGCTTCCCCATTATTTAGTCAGATTTTTGCTTTCTTTAAAAATCCACTTTTTATGTCTTGAATGTAGCCAAAAAAAGTTCATTGTTTTATGTATTATGTATTAGAAAAGAACTTATACAACATAAAACTCTTTTATTGTGATATATTTATTTGTGATCTACTGTAGTAATTTACAAATATGCTTATGAGAACCTGCACTCATGGGCATAAAACTGTCTAGACAGAAAATTCTGGTTATGTGAGAAAAGAACTTCCACTTAATTTAAATGCAATGTTGAAATGAAACATTAGTACAAAGGGATTTAAAGATGTCGTACTTTGGAGATTGAGTTATTGTGGTATTATGTTAATAATAAACCGTTTTCATAGGTCATCAAGCTTATAATGAAAAGGACTGATTAATTTAGGGAACCTATACAGAAAATTAAGGCTTTCTAAAGTATTCATGACACAGACCCCAGCAAATAACAAGTGCCTTATTAAGAAGTTCTGTTGCTAGGAGACAGTAACCACAGTGCCGGAATTGCATGTTGTTATTTCGTATAAGAAATGCTGTTTAATGCAGATCATTAGGTAATGAGCAAGTATGGCTCTGTGATATGAGGGTTTGTGCGAATGTTTAATTTGTGAGACGGAAAGCTGCTGAAAACTGGAAGTCTTTAAAGTAGACCTCAGTGTCGTGTGCCACAGGAACAGGCTGGTGGCGAAGATCTGTTTGAAGTTTCACTGAAAGTAGGTAGGCAGCCTGCTGCCAAGTACTCAGGTGGAGTAATTACAGTACATAAATCAAGTAGGAATAAATAAAGACAATAAATGGCTTTAAAAGATGAGATGTTCATACAGCTGTTTAATCTTGCTGATACAGAATCAAGTTAAGCAATGGAAAGAACGATGTGATTCATAATGCCGTGTAATAAGCTGTCTGAAAACAAAGTCTGTGAAAGCACAAGAGAGACAGGAAGGCTTGGTATCACCAGCAGGAATATGGTAATGCGTTATAGGAGATGCTGAGAATGACTGCATTTAAAGGAATATCAAAATAACAGATTCTTTGTAAAAACAATATCATAAATAATATCCAGTAATTATAACTATGGAATTTGTTTGGAATTTGGAAAATCTCAAAAAGAGTCTAAATCTGTAGTCTGAAAGAATTTGACCCAGAAAATATGTTCCACCTCACTAATGTATAGTTAGTTATAAAAGCACAGCAGAGGGACTTTCTTGTTGAACTCTGTGAAGGCAGCATCCCGTGCTCTCCATGTGACCCAACTTGTCCAGATTTGCTAGCTTTTGGGGTTCCTTAAAGCTGTGCTGATAGCTCTTAGCTGGGCTGTGGGGAGATGCAGATTTATACCTTTAATTCTGGTACAGCTGATAAGTACGCAGGCTTTGGTATATAAGTTGTTTAGTCACTTTCCCAATCATCTTTTCTACATCTTTTCAATGAAAGCAGCCTATAAACTGGATGTGGGCCCTGCTGCTGATTCATGCACATTCTTTCTTTCACATTGATTAAAACAGAATATTCATTTTACGAATATATGCCCTTATTAAAATCATTACTTTAATCCTTTAATTGTTGTTGATTTTATGTTGTCTCAAAACTTACCAAACTGACACAGTGATACTCCTTCCCCTTACAAATAAGAGTATGTGTATATATGTATGTATATATATATGTATGTATGTGATTAGCATAAAAATAATTCTAAGTTTTGAATGTGGTAAATATTTCATGTTCTGCCCCCCCCCCCCCCATCTACTTTGGACACCTTTCTGGAAAATGCTTG